GATTTGATATAAATAACCAGATTTTTCTCCTCAAAGGAAACTGAAATTGACCCTAAGCCACAATCCCCCAAACCCTTCTGGACTGTTCTGATGCCCTGGGCGGAAGGTGAAGCGCCAGGTCCACCTGGGATGACATCAGCTGATGGAAGTGGTCAAACCCTCATCCTCAAACTTTTTGCACTATGAGGCCTTTTAAAAGGTGTGAGTCACACCTCTCTGTGACTATTAATGGCATTCCATGGTATAGAAGCCATCACTAAGTTTCGTCCAGGGTTTTGCCTTTTAAAAGAGACTGAGTCGAAAAGTTTGCTGGAGGGCAGAGTTCCTGGGCAGCAGCTCTCTCTCCCCAGTTGGCACATCTGTGTTTCTTCAAAGGAGAACAGTAACTAGAAGCAGCAAATAAAAGAAAGCACTTGGCCCTTCCCCGGCTGCCAGCGGGTCCGCCTCCCAAAGACGGCGTCTCCTGTTCTTCTGAGACTCAGAGCTCGTTACTTACAGGCAGGCGTTAAAGCCGAATGAGGCCAGCGGAGGAAAGCAGTTCGCACGTACTCCTTCCTCGTGGACGGAGGAAAGCGGTTCGCGCGTACTCCTTCCTCGTGGACGGAGGAAAGCGGTTCGCCCGTACTCCTTCCTCGTGGACGCGACCCGCAGCATCACTAAGCACAGCAGTGAAACCTGCTGCCCTGGCTTCCGAGAAGCCTGAGGAAGGAATCCTGCTCTGCTAACTTTCTGCAAGACAGAAAAGGCCCCAGGGATCGGCCTCACTGAGTTGGGGTGGCCCGAGATGTCCGCAGAATGGCAGCTTTTGAGGGAGAATCCTGGAGCCTCCTGCGCTGGCGGCCAGAGTCACCGGCTCCACGGCAGGGGACTTGGGGAAACTGGGACGCGCACCTGGTCTCCTAAAACACTCCCCTCCCCTCTGGCTTGCGTCCTTCTATTCCACAGTCGAAGCTCGTGTACTTTGGTTTAAGGTGCGAATTCCTCAAACACAAGTTTGATAGGTTTCATGAATGGAACTGCCAATTAACTGACTGCAGAGTGGTAGTTGCCAAGCAACGTGGGGCATGTTGAAGCGGGGCGGGGCGGGGGGGTACGACTATAGGTTTGGAAAAAGGCTTATGATGAAAATGTAGATTTTAGAGGAAATGGAAGCTTGGAAAAGGTTTTAAAAATTTAAAAATACTTATTTAAACAAACTTAATTTCACTTTTAATTGAATTAAATGAAATTTAATGTAATTTAAAATTATGACTTTGAAAATAAATATTTTCTTCAATTTTATTATGAAAAGTGGCCCAATAAGGGCAGCAGGAGCATCGCTTCTGCTCACCCAACTTCCCTGTGCACACTTGGTGCCCAGGCGATCGTCCCTGGTGTGACTGCCCCCAAGCAGTGCTCTGGGGAAGGTGATGTGCTCCGTATTTGGAGTTCTCAGTGGTATCGGGACAAAAGAACCAGCACGAAGGGCTTTCTGCTAATCTAATGACAGCAGTGTCAGCATCGAAAAGCCAGCGCCGCTCTTGATGCAAATAAGATCCGTTTTCGAAGGTCTGCGGATTTGTCACGATGCCCAGGAAGGATACGTTACTATCAAAAGCAGCAGAAAGCAGTGTGGATGCAGTAGGGCACGCCGGATTTTTGGTGGCCTTAGGAAGTCGGGCACAGCTGGCGTACGTGTGCCTGTGTGCAGCTCTTCTTTTAGGCCTGTGTCTATTTACGAAGTTGGCTGTGTTCTCGTTTCACGGTCTTGCCGAGGTGGACGGATCGATGAAGGCCTACATGCAGCTGAGAACGTCACAGTGGAATTTCGACAGCAGGTTTCGATTACGACGACAATGTCATTGTCATTGGTGGTGTCCGATGGATATGACGGAAGTGAGCGGGCATCGGTCACAGTGGGGGCGCTGCCAGCAACTTCCAGAAGAACGAAGCTGAGCGAAGAAGGTGGCTGTATTTTGGACGGATTATTCAGAACAGGGGCCTGCACACATGGTCTCTTCATGAAAGTCGACTGTCCTGCGCAGGAGCGCGGAGCCATGATGCCTGTGTCCCAGCCCTGTGCAGTGGCCCTATGGAATGATAATGTCCAGGCGCAGTCAGACACTTCCCCTGGGTAATAACTCACCTTTTAGGGGACGGAGCGGAGATTTATATAAAATTAAGAGGAGTAACGGACAGAGTCTGATGGACTAAAACTGCAATTCCAGTTCATGTTCTTTATCTCAAGAGCGTAAAGACTCTTGCTCCCCATGAAAAATGGCTTCCCTCTGCTGGGCATCGTGCTCCGATTCCTGCTTCTAATTTTTCCGTCTTTTTATTACTCTCCGCCATCTGTTCCCAAATGCTAAAGAGCATGTGTGTACAGAGTTCTCCTCAAGTGAGGCAGCACAGACAGCGGGCTGTAAATATTTTATGCTTTCCGGGATCATTTGCTTTCAGAATATTAAGAATTCATGCCAACATTTGATAATGCGGTATCTGAAGAATGTTCCGCTTAGTGCAACATTTTTCTTGGTAAAAGATAGGAGGAAAGAGCTGGGACAAATTCAGAGCCGAGATTTCAAAGTGCCGTGGCCTCATTTAGCTCATTCTGGTAGACCCACCAATTATTAACAAAATTTTAAATGCCCCTCACTGACTACTTTTCTTTATCAACTTTCTTGAAAAAATCCCCAACTTACAGAAAAGTTGCGAGTGAGTGCAGTACAAAGAATGTGTTTCTTACATCGTCTGAGAATAAGCTGCTGATGTGATGTCACATTATTTCCAAATCCTTTAGTGTGTCTTTCCTACAAACGAGGACATTCTCCTACTTTTATGGGCTGAAACGTATCCCCTCGAAATCCCTATGTTGAAGTCCTGACCCCCAGGACTTCAACCCTCAGAGTGAGACTGTGTTTGGAGACAGGGTCTTTAAAGACGTTAACTGAGTTAAAATGAAGTCATAGTGGGCGCGGGGGCCTGGGCCCATCAGGCTGGTGTCCGTACAGGAAGAGGAGGTTAGGACGGGGCCGCGCACAGGAAGACCAGGTGCGGACGGCACGTACAAGCCACGGAGACAGGCCTCGGAAGAAACCAGACCTGGCGACCCCTCGACCTCGGGCTGCCGGCCCCAGGGACGATGAGGAACTGCGGTTTTGTTGTGTAAGCCACGCGGTCCGCGGTCCTTCGTCCTGGCAGCCCCAGCACGCTGTGCACCGTCACGCCTGCGACACAAAACCTCGACCTCGGCATCAGGCGGCACCGACCCGCTCCTGCTGCTGACCCTCAACGCCCCGTCGCGTTCCGCCGTGGCCCCAGCGCCGCCCGGTGTGACCCACCGTCAGGGTCATGTGGCGCGTCTGGCCGTCACGTCCTTTTAGGCTCTCTCAGTCTGGCATGGCTTCCCAGGATTTCATTTTTCCTGACTTTCATGACTTTGGTACTTTCGAACGTCGCAGGCCAGTTATTTAGTGTCCCTGCGTTCGGCCGTGTCCGGCGTCATGCGTCTGTGGCAGGAGCATCGCAGACGTGGTGCCGTGACCTTGTGCCTGTCCATTTGCCCCCTCATCTGACACTGTCCCCTGCAGCGCTTGATGAAGGTGGGGTCTGCCGGCTTCTTCCCTACCAGGTCACTCCTGCCCGCCGTGCAACTAGTAAATACTGACTCTTTGGGGTGGTACTTTCAGACTTTAAAAATCCCATTTCTCACAACGCTTTCAACGTCTTTGCTTTTTTCAGCCTGGCTTCCCCGTCTCATGCAGTGCGCTGTGCTCCACGGCCGTCCGCTTCGAGGCACGAGCTGTGCCGATTTGGCCAGGGGGAGCCCCTGCGGGCTGGCTTCTGTGTTCTTTTGGTGCATCCCCATCATTCCTGGCACACTTCCCTGTGTTTTGGCAGAAGGTCTTTCAGGCTTATCTCATACCCTGCCGGCCCAGTCCTGGAATCCCCCATCCCAGGAGCCGGACCAGAGGATCCTGGCTTGTTGTAGTGGGACTTAGTGGTTAGAGGCCATTGGGACACTACATTCTTGGGTATGTGTGTTAGACTGTCCCTGGAAAACAAAGCCGAATTTTCATGGTTATGAATTTCTACCGTATAGGAAAATGTGGCATTTGAGTCTCAAACGTCTAGTCTTCGTCGGTGTGAATAGTTATTTTTGAGCAAAGGCAAGTAGATATTAGTGATATCTTTGGATTACGTTATGAGCTGCCTATATTCCTGACTCATGCTCTGCTGGATATGCATGTTCACCTCTGACCCTCACACTTTTTGGTCCCCATGCCACCTGGAGAGAAATCGAGACTCAGAGAGGTGACATGAAATTGTCCATGTCACTCAGCCAAGTCAGTGGCAGAATGAGGATTTCGTTCCTGGGTTTATCCAGCTCTAAAGCTGTACCCATAACGACCTGACCAAAATAAATTTAATAATTCTACAATTATAGTTTAATACTCTTGATTTTTACTGTACTGTCCAGGTTTTTCAGAAACTTTCTCTCCCTAAAGAATGGAAATGTAGGTTATCTGATAATTTCTACAACGTGTGTGCAGCCACACGTGAAAGGAAAGCCTCACGGAGGAGCATCTTCCCTCCTGCCGGCCGATGGTCTCGGTCTTGTCCAGAACACTGAGTGGGAGCATGACATGGGACGTCACCTCCCCGGGGACGTGGATCGCACCTCCCCACTCCTACAGCTTCTGAGACTGGGCAGCTGACATCCTCCCTCACTTGAAAATAATCACAAGGAGGGACAAAACAGGACTCCTGAGGCCGAAATCATGATAACGAACAGTAATGATGGAAGAGAAGGCTCTGTGCCGCGTGCCGCGCGCCGAGCGGGAGAAGAGGTTTCTTAGCATAAAGAAATCACTTCTCCTTTCCAGTGATAATTCCAGACCGTAGTTTCACATGATAGTCGAACTCTGACAAGGTTTTAAAACAGACATATAAAATAGCTATTATAGTTTCCCAAACAGTTCTGCTCAGTATAATTTCAAATAAGGTGTTTGAATGGCAGATTAAAAATGCTTCTGAGCGAAGGGTTTATTACCTTTTTGCTTTGTAAGTTTTTGACCAAAAGACAGAATTTGATAAAGCTAAACCCTTTAAGCATATTTTACAGTTCAATCTCCTTCTGCAAATATGCTCGAATCGAAGGCTGGTCTCCTGTGAATTGTAACATACTGTTGGTTTCTATGAATATGACTTCATAATGTCATAATTTCCATAAGTAGCCAATGAGTACTTGTAGTCTGTCACAGGTAAGCAGAAGAATCATGCGCGATCTTTCCCTCCAGCAATCATGTCACAAGGACTTCATGGGGACATCTGTAAAAAGACCTGAATTACTTTTTTGAACTCCAGAAATGACTGCAGTTTTAACCTTGAAGAGACGGGTGACTGTAGCTGTCACCTATAGTTGGGTGCTTGTGGTGTTTTATAACCAAGGCCCCTAACCTCTGATCAGCCATATTACACAGCACCATAATTGTGGCATAATAGCATCCATGTTTTTATTTTTTTCAGAGGGAAAAAAAGAGATGGCACTATTAAAGTCGAAATTTTTTGTAGTGCTTTGTTAGTTATAGCTGACTGTCTTTTACTTTCTGACACTTGGCCCTCAACGGCTTTTCCTCCACCTGGAGCACCCGGAAGGCTCAGCTGAAGGACAGGTGCCAGACCCTCAGCTTCCTGCTTCCCTGTGTGCACCTGTGGAGCCTGACGGAAGCTGCCTCCAGGGCAACGTTCTCTGCTCTCCCCAGGTGTAGTCACATAACTTACCTGTGCAGCACGTTAAATCACCTTCAGAGAAGGAGTCACCTGTGTGCCAAGTTTTATTAGATTTCCGGAGCTGTCACATGAGCAGATGGACAAAGGCCCCTGAGAGGCGTAGCTGTGGAACAGAACGGCCACGCCTGGGTCCTGGAGAGACAGTTGTCAAGGACAGCCCTGTGTGACCTCACGATCGTATGTGTGCTGAATCCTCACTAAGGCTCCTGTCCCCAGTAACAAGGACAGCCCAATTAGAGAGACCAAGTGAACACACGCAAGACACTCAGAGGAGGAGGAGTTTGCTAGGCAGTTAGAGCCACTGGTGGGTAGCTCCCAATGCATCCATATGACTTTGGAAATCCATTTAAAAATTACAGATTCTTGGGCCCCATCGTAGATTAAATGGTGCCCCTCCCCCCAAAGATATGTCCGAATTCTAATATCTGCGCCCTGTGAATGTGGCCTTATTTGGAAAGAGTCTCTTGCAAGTGGATAAATTAAGGATGTTGAGATGGGACTGTCCTGGATTGTAAGGTGGGTTCTAAATCTAATGACAGGTGTCAGAGAAGGGGAGAGACACACGGAGAAGGAGGCCGTGTGACGCGGGAGGCAGAGACTGGAGGGGTGCAGCCACAAGCCCGGGGCGCCTGGAGCCACCAGAAGTGAAAAGAGGCATGTGGTTTTCCCTCTTGAGCCCCTGAGGGGCGTGACCCTGCTCTCACCTCGTTCTTGGACTTCTGGTCCCCTTTCTCGTTGTCGTAAGCCAGGTGGTGGTCATTTGTTTCGGCAGCCGCAAGAGAGTGGTGCAGGCCGCACCCCAGCCTACACGAGGAGACTGTGCTGTGCTGAGATCCGGTTTCACAACGCTCTGGAGCGATTCTGGTGCTGCACAGGTTTGAGAAGTGCCATCTGAGTCATTGGTCATTGGTTTTTGACACCTATGGTATATTGCATTACACAGAGAACTTCAAAACACAGATGCCCAGGCCACGTCCCCAGGTACTGATTCAGGTCACCTGCGGTGGAGCTGAGACCCTGAAAATTTCCAAGAGCAGTAAGGCGGGAGATGCCGGCCACCGGAGATGTCGCAGGTGTACAGACACCGTTCAGGTAGAGGTGTTGGCTCCTGCCAATTCTCTTTCCACCGACTCCTCTGCAGCCGCTGTCACTCACAGAGCCCAGTCCTACGACTTCCAGGCTCTGACTGCTTTGCTCATCTGATGACGTGTAGCTCATCTTCTCACGTGCTTATTGCTCTCTGCCTGCTTTCTTTTTTAGTACTTTGTGTTTTTTTTTGTTTCTACCTGCTGGAGCTTGCTACCGGAATAGTTGGAACTCTGAGTCTCCCATGTGAGATCGCGCTCTTGTTCTCATTTAGTACTTTGTGTTTTTTTTTGTTTCTACCTGCTCGAGCTTGCTACCGGAATAGTTGGAACTCTGAATCTCCCATGTGAGATCGCGCTCTTGTTCTCAATATTTCTCTCACTTATTGAGTGTTTAGTATCTGAAAGCACAGGAAGATGATCTATATAAGGAATTAATATTTTTCCCCAAGAATAGAGTATGCCTTTTCCTTTATTCAAGTCTTTTTTGTCTCCCTCTGTAAGATGTTGAGTTGTCCTTGATGACGTTCTTGAATGCTTCTTTATAATTTATTTCCTGGTTGTTTTATCTCCTAAGCACTTTACATGCAATGAAATCTCAGGAACAAATTATGAAATTGATACCATTATGATCCCATTTTACAGGAAGTAGAGTAAATCACTTATCACGGTGGCAGGCAGGATTGGACTTTAATTCAGCTAAGGCTGTCTGAGTCCTGAGTGAACATGCTTGATTGGAAAGCTGTATTCCTTCTTAAGAAAAACAGACCCAGTCCCTGGACCTATTCATTGCAAAAAACAAGCTAAACGTTTGAGGAGCTAGCCTAAGAAAGAGAGGGGCCCCCGTGTCAGCCGTGGTGAGGTCGGTGGGGTTCTCTGCGTCCTTCGCTGACTTGCTGGAATGGCTCGTTTCTAATTCTATGCTTCTTCCAAACAGTGAGACCCTTCTCTTCTGACCCAGGGAGACCCACAGGATTCATCTTGTCTGGCTGGAATCAAGAAGGAACAGACATAAAGGAGTATCGAGATGGCCTGTAGGTAGGCATAAACCTTTCTACAGTCTGTGAAGCAGAGATTAGGGAGAAGATGAAAGGGTGGAGGAGGAAGGAGGGAGGCGAGAGAGAGGAGAGGTAGGAGGCAGAACCAGTGATGGGGAGAAGCGGACACAGCAGAGGGGAACACGTGGGGGCAGGGAACTGAGGGTCGATGGGTTTTCAACGAGAGTTAGAGGTGGCACCCTGCCATTTGGGGGCGGGCGCGTGAGCTTCTGTGTGAAGCGGACTGGATACCGAAGTGTTTGTCCCCCGTGTAACTACTGTTCAGAGCTCCCCACACCCCGGAATTCCAAGTCTCTAGTCAGACTCGAGGGTGCAGGTCCCTGTCACATAGGAGGAATGCCAGCAGCCCGCACGAAAATGCCATCAGGGCTGCGACCGCAGGAGTCAAATCGAGACCGCTTCGGAGACCGATGCAGTCCAGCCTGTGCTGCACCGTGTCCCCACTCAGCCCCTGAGAAGGGCACCGAAAGAGCCTCAGGCACCAGGTGGCGCTGTTGACGAGAATGTCCTCAAACACATTGGCACTTCTGGATTAAATAAATTAGAAATGAAACCAATCAATATTAATAATAACACAAATAATGATGCAATCACATTCGATAAGGACAAAAATATTTTTATAACTCTGACACAAAAAATAATGAACCTATTACAATCCAATTATGTTATTTGAAACTACTTGAAAGGACATATATTATTTTTATGCATTATGTCCATTTCATGTATCTATAGGCTAAATGCAAACTGATATCAATGACTGTGACATTTAGCTTAATAAGTTTATGGTTTTTGTCTGAATTGGCAGCATTCACCGGCAGTCCATCACACACAGCAGCCAGCAGCTTCCAGGAAAAACGTAGCTCATTTTCGTCATCTGTGCCAAAGACAAGGTGTCCTGTTTGCTTTACTGAGAAATCAATACATATTCCTTTAGCGTCTCCTCTATGGGCAGAAAGCCACACGGCTCACTCAGCATTTATTTGTTGATAGCATTTACTTCTCTCCAAAACAGTACCGGCAACTTTGCCTAAATAAACGAGCACCCTCACTGCCGGATGCCCGTGCGGCGGGAGCCGTGGGGGCAAGTAACTCTCGTTGAAAACCCATCGACCCTCAGTCCCCTGCCCCCACGTGTTTCTCTGCCCCCTGCCCCCAGGCGATTGCTGGTGTGAGCAGCACACGCGGCTGTTGGTGCCAACTGCAGGGGCGATGCCAGGATTCCCCACTCCACGACTGGCCTTTCGGATGAAGCCGTCACTTCGGGGTGCTCGCTTTTACCCTCTTTTTAATTCCTCGGATCTCGGAGTAACAAATGGTGTCGATACACGTTCAACACCCGATGAGGTATTAGCATTTCTGTTCACTGTTTTTAACAAAAGTTCATCACAAAGTCCAAGAAAAAGGGGAGAGAACAGGAAGAGGAGAGGGAGAAGTGTTTATAATTTGTCAGAGATCTTAGGATTCTGATAACCAGAGAAGCACAGATGAACCTTTTTCTCGGGTGGGTGGGGAACTGGAAATGGGGTGTTGCTGGAAAATGGGGCAGAGCTCCTTACGCAGGTTGGCTCTCTGGGGAATTTGGGGAGTAAGTTTCTTACTAGCTACACATAAATAATCGACTGCCGGGAGTGTCACATGTCACACGGTGAAAAGCTAGATGTGGTCAGGATGCCACTCCAGTTAGTCAATGAATAATCGCAGAATGTCCATCGTATCTGATTAGTGCGAATGGTTGTTCTGAGCTGCTTAAGGCAGAGTTTTCATGTTAACAGTTACATTACATTACTTTTTTCTTTGCATTTTTGTTTTGTCACATGGTGAAGTAGGACATACACGTTGGTCGTTCCGTAAACCATTTTTGGTTCCTGATAAATATATCCTGAGGACAGTGTATGCTTTCTTTCTACCACCCCGGCCCCTGGGGTGGTTTCAGCCCTCTCCCGGCATTCGATCTCTGGTGTTTGGTTGGTGTTTTGGCTCACTAACAGGGCTGCTTTGGGATGCGACAGGACCACACCCATCATTTCTGCGGTTTTCTATCATCGCCGGCACACCAGGAACTTGGCAGCTTTTTAAGTCACTTTCTGCGTAACGTGTTGCCTGTGCATTAGAGCCAGAGATGTTTCGAAGGCTTGGATTTAATAAACTTTTTTGAGAACTGACTATCTTCCAAATACTCTAAGAACTAGGGGCACAAAAATGAAAATGATACCTTCGCTAGCTACAGCCTAAGCGGAAGGAAGAGATATGCCGATAGTTGCAATATAGCCCTGTGGTTGAAACACCTTCACACTTCGCGTAAGCCTTATAAAAACAGAGATGCAGAAACCGAACTCTGGAGAGAGAGAGGAAGGTTGAAGGCAGCATTAGGGATGGTTAAACACCTAGGGTTTGAGAATCTGACAGGCCTGGGGTCAAAACCCGGGTCCGAGGTCACACGAAGGGGACAGACTTGAGCCAGTCGCTGCCCTAGCAGACGCCTTTGTTTGCCTCCTGAATGGTGGGTTCTAGAAGGTATGTCCACACTCTAATGCCCAGGCCCTGCGGTGTGACCTTCGAAGGCTAAAATGTGAGTGCGTGGACGACCTTGAGAGGGTGAGTCCTTCTGGGTCTTCCAGTTCAGCCTGGAACTGGCACCGCTGAGGACTCGCTTTCGGGGAAGGGACACCATTCAGCCCCGGCTGTGTGCTCATGCTGTGACTTCTTCATGCCTACGTTGTGACTTCTCCTATGTGACGAGCCCAGAGTTCGCCAGCTCCGTGACAGCCTGAGCCGGAGGTAGCAGTGAGTGACTTCCCGAGCGGGTCCCCTGTCTCTGCCTCCTGCTTCGTCGGCAGAGTTCTACCTGTCACGTCTGTACCGTGACGGGGGCGTGGCGGGAGGCGAACCTAAGTGGGCATCAGAAGGGATTCCAGTGCACTAGTGGGTGGCGACTCCTTGCTCCCGGTCCTCATTCTGGGTCCCGGTGGACCCAGGAGGCATTAAAAGGTGCTGAAGGACTGAGTGCGGGCGTGAGCCATCCTGTTTCCGGTCCCCAAGGACCAATAAGCTCCACGTTCCCCATGGGCGGTGCGGGAGCCGGGGCGCCGAGTGAGCATGTCCGGCGAGCTTCGGGTTCGCAAGGACGAGGCCTGGGCTGTGGGCCAGTGGCCGTCTTTTTGTGCACTGTGAATGTGCTGGGCCATGGAAGACGTCCTGTGGCCCCAGTTTTTATGTGGGGTTTTATGGAATTCTGTAGCAGGCTTTTGAAAATGCCTCTGAGAGAAGAAACCTTATGTGATGAACTGTAGCTTCCACGACGGACTTGCTGGGAAAGGAACGCGTGGCCTGACGTTAAGTACTAAGACAACGCTGAGTGGCTGAGAACGTTCTGGCAGAACCCACGAGAATTAGCAACCCATCAGGGGAACACGACGGGACGGAGGCGCGAGCCCGTGGCGTCTGAACTTGTCCGGGGTGGCTGGGCCATGGTTGGGGAGGGAGAAACTGAGGCAGGACACTGGGATTTGACTCCATCATCGGAGCTCTACTGAGGGCATTGAACCTTTTCAGGGCAGCGGGAGCCACTGAAGGCTGCAGTAGGGTCAGATCTGAGTTTTAGAAGTGGCTCTGTGCTGGGCGGGGCAAAGGTCCACTGCAGAGACACTGCCGGCAGAGACTCGGTTTAGGAGACGATTCTAACTTCCTAGGGACAGCCGCTAGGAGCAGCTAACACAGCAGGGGGCATTGGGGACACGGGTGGGACATGGGTTAAAAACTAATTTAAAGAGGAAGGAGAAAAAAGTGTAACCAAAATTATAAAATTAGGTGTAATTGAGAATACAGAAAGGACATCATCGGTAAGAGAAACAGGTAACGTAAGGATGTTACAGCAGAGAACAAAACCCAGGGTTTTCATATAGTATCCGCTGATGCAGAGTTGGGGTGACGCGCATCAGCATTAATGAGAGGCTGAGGGATACACTCAGGCCTGGAACACAGCCTGGTAGGGTGAGTGGCCAGATTTTCTCATTTTAAGATTGAGAGTACTCGGCGCATTTAAAAATTATCGCTGAATGCAAGGGGTGGCGATCTGAGATTTGAGGACCCCAAGAATTCAGGTTTTGGGGTCTTCTGTAAGACAGGGCATAGAAAATTATGAATATGAAATTAGGTGCTAGGCTTTGGGGTCTGGGGAGGGGAGGGACCCTGAACTTTAGCTTCATTACCTAGGTGTCAAGTTTAATATAGATAGAATGGACAGCCGTGGACCCTGCCGTCCAGCTCGAGAACTTGCCTGTGATCAACCCCCTGAAGCTCGCCTCCCACGCCGTCTCCTACCACAGTGCCGTTCTCCAGAACGCGGGCTTAGCTTCCGTGTCTCTGTGGAGTTTTGTCGCGTTTGTATTATCTCTAACTAATGCACAGATGTGTAGATATACATTTACTTTTGCACTTTTCTGGACTCTATATAAATGATGTCAAAATGCACATTTTGCCTTTTTTGCTCAAAGTGTTTGCGATTCCTCTGCACTGAAGGCTGTGGCTGTCACTGGCCCCTTCCCTCACATCGTCTCCTTAGAGGAGGTCCCTGCTCTGCACAGGACTGTGACGTGCATGCATATTGGAACATTTCCTGTTACTTGAACAGTCCTCTGTCACCTTAACCTGCTCTGGCTGCTATCACAGAGTTTTTAGCACAGATTGGGTGGCTCATAAACAACGGAATTTCATTTCTCAGTTCTGGAAACGAGTCTGAGATCAGGGCGCCCGCTTGGTCGGCGAGGGCCCTTTCAGGCTGCAGACTTCTTGCTGTGTCTCATGGCAGAAGGGGACAGGTAGCCTCTTTTATAAGGACGCTAATCCCATGGAGTGCCACTCCCTTACAGCGTTATCACCTCCCAAAGGTCCCACTTCCTAACACTGTCCCCTGGGGGTAGGACTTCAACATGGATTTTGGAGGGGCCAGTAAGACCATAGCACATGCCAACTGAAACTGCACCACAGTATTTTGTATCAGTCTCTTCCCCGGGTTTTTGTTCTTACATACCTGGTACTCGGCTCCAGGTGCGTGTGCCAGGTGGACGCCTATGGGAGAAGTCCTGATTATGCAAGATCTGCGTGCTCAACTTTTCCAAATGGGGCCAAGGTGGGTCCCCAACAGGTTCCACGGTACCCACAGTGTTGAGTGTGGGTAGCCTGGTGATGGCCTGTCCGCAGCGGCTCACCACTGAGACTTCAGCATCATCCCGTGCTCCACGCCGGTAACCTGGTGCTTGTAGGGGCTTCTGGGCCTCAGCACCAGCTCTTCCTCTGGTGGCGGACACTGTCCTCTCCTCACTTGGTGGCCTGGTAAACTCCTACCACCTGCCGACCTCACGTCTAACGGTGCCTCCAGTCTGAAGCCACTGACTGCCAGGTGCCACGCTCCTCTGGGTCAGATCTAGAGCCACCGCATTGTTCTATTTTGCCCACTTGACGCCCCTTGTTGCTTTTTGTTTTAGGGTTCTGTGCACCTAGCATAGGGTCTGACATACTGCGTGTCCTCACGTTTGTGGAATGAATGAAATCTAACAGGTGGAACACGTTAGTACTGTATTAAGTACATTAAGTAGTAGTAGATTAAGTGTGACCCAAAGTGGAAAGCCATGAGACAGGAGCTGTGGCACCATATTTGGATGAGGAGACACAGAAGAAATGTCACCTTAAGTTTCTAAATGGAAGATGGTTACTGGCAGGAAGCTGTGGGGGCGGGGCACGCAGGCTGGAAATCTCACTTTGCTAGAAGCAGAACCTCTGACGAACTCGTGTCTCACCAACGATTTCGTGAAGGAACGAGAGACGACGCGCTGCTCTAGACTGACTTCTGACAGAACAGTTCACTGGGGAGGAAGGGACATGAGCCTGGGAAGAAAGTGACTATTTCCAAATCCACATAAATGACAGAAGGGGGTACTGCACAGTTAGATGTGGACCCTGGATGTCGGAAAGGATTTTGAAGATGGGAGTGAGCCCATGAACAGGGGCCAGAATCAGAGACACCGAAGTTGACAGAAGCAGCTCTTTTTAAAAAAGAAATCTGAACGTGCAGCATCAAGTGACATCAGAGGGAAGGAAAACAAAGCTATCGAAAAAACTGCGGTTACATTTCTCATGGTGGCACAGAAGACCCTCCGAGATTTTTCTTCCTTTTGGAAACAAATAATTGCTTTATTTCTGACTATAAAAGTGTCTTAACAATAAGCTCGTCTTAAAGCGACATGGGTATATCATAAAATGGGAGGTACATAAAGATGAACGTAGGCTCAAGCAGGAACCAAACTAGCAGGGAGATGGACTGAAAAGGGGAGATAGGTGCCTGGGGGTCCATCACTCCCAAATATCCTACCATGTCAAGGGCATATCAGAAAGTCCTCTGTAGAACGTTCTGAGGGAGAAGGACGTGTTTTCTAGGGGTCACCACTGAAGCTACCACAGATAAGGGCGTTTTCAGAACTTTCCCAGCACATACAGCGCTTCATACAGATACGATAAAATGATCACACTTTGTAAGTTAAGGTCACTTTTCTCCAAATGCCCTGTAAATACTTCAGATAAAATAGGGGGTCCATAGCCAAAAAAGGCATAACGTATGTACATGACTCATTCGTTTCCATGCTGCTTTTGGTAGTAGGAAGTACCAGCGCACGTTCCAAAGGGGGTGGGGACCCTCCATGGGTGCCTCCTATGGTCCAGGCACTTGCGCCTGCATCTCATTCACCTGTCCTAATAAAGCCACAACAGTAAGGCTGGATGAGGCTCAGGTCCCCCCAGCTCTAGAGCATTCACCTTCCCACTGCGCACGACACCTCCGATTCACAGGAAACAGGAGAAAAGAGATCACCAGAACTCACAGGAGCATTGTGCAGGGCGTGTACTCACCACCTGGTTCCCTACAGTTCTCGAATATTTTTAAATGATCGTCTCAAGTCAGATTCCAAAGTATATGGAAGGAAGCTGCTTTTCACATCTTTCTGTTAGTTTTATTTCACAGATTTTATATAGCTATACAACATAAAAAGCACAAAATACTGAACTCTATTTTCTTACTTACACGGTGTAAAATTTTTAACAAAAGTCCCTTGCGATGAAAGATATAAGTAGAGCAGAAATACTGCCCAAGATCGACGGTTCAGTAAGATGACATAAAATATGCTCTATTTTATGACTTTTTACACAAGAAAATCTGTAATTCAGTTTGTCTAAGCCCAGCAGCTACCCAGGCACGTTCACTTTTCCGAGCTTTCCTGTCTCATTCAGAATCGACCAGAAGAGCTATGAGGAGCTGAGCTGAGGGCCGACCCATGCGAAAGCCCTCAGGAGACAGCGTGCTGGCCGGTGAGTTCATTACCTTAGGATCGATTATCTTCAATGACAATAGTTCTACCAGGATAGGCTTCAAGTTCTACAAATATATATCGAAATTCATACTCGCCGTTTTCTGGGTTCTGGAAAACAGAAAGTATTTTGAGGCGTCATTTTTCTCCCCAGTGTTTCCCGCAGCTGCGCACTCAGTCCCCAGGCCCACCGTGACGCTCACCTCCTTCACCTCGAGGTGCACCGTTCCCTGCTTCCCGGGCTCGGAGCCCTGGATGTAGAATTTCACACGCATGTGTTTCAGCCCATCTTTCACATATTCAACAAAACTGTCAAAAAAAAAAATGAGAGAACACAGGCCTGAATTCCTTTCATTTAAAAATTACCCCCGAGATCTCCAAATTCAAGCAATGCGCAGTACCTAACGTGCTGCCTTCGGCCACGCCTTGTCACCTCCCCAAAGCCTCTAACAGGCTCGCCAAAGACACCTATAACCTGTAGAATAAAGACAATGTCTTATTTAGTAAATGCCATGTTTTTAAAGTTTCCTAGGGAGATATTTTCTGACAAACCAAGTGATTATTTTAGAAAAAAATCAATAAGCCTAGGACCTATTCAAAATGACAATTCCAATGATGAAAAGAAGAAAGCTCTCACGGAAAAATCATCCCAGAAATAACTGAACTATTTTCTGTGCAAGGACTGATCCGAGAACTTTATGGTACTACTTGTAGTTTCGGAATGGTGTAGGCTGAGTGAAGCTGGTCCCACTCCCCTTCCAAAACCCAGATACAATGAAAGAAAGTGTTCAAACAGTGAAATGGCTGAATGTTTTTAGTGGAATTTATCTAATGGCGGGGGGAGGGTCTAATACTAAACGCTACGAAAACAATTTTAAAACAAACTAGATCTAGAGTTGGGAATCAATTATTTCTAACGGGAAAACTCATAATGAAGTAGAAATGTAATTTTTATTGAATTTAAAATGCACACACTTTGGAATCTTTAAGAAAAAAATTAATAACAAACAAAAATATTGCCTGAAGTCTATAAAATTTTTCTTATTTTGTGTGGAGCATCTTTAGTGTCACATTTTTCAGGCATAAATAAAAAAGAAATGTATAACATGAGAGAGATTTAAGAACGGTACAGCTGAAACGCAACAACTTTTCAAACAACTTAGCAGAGCGGGGACATCAGTATCAGAACCTCAGGGTTTTCTACCTTTCCACCGGGCCCAGTGCTAGGCAAAGAATAGGCCCTTTATAAACGTTGACAAAATTGAGTTGTTAAAGTTTGATTATTCTTCATAGAGCTCTTATAGACGGCAAATTAAGTTATGACTTTAAAAACAGCCCGCTCTCTCTGTTTATTCTGTATATTTCGTTTTGTTCGAAACGCTGATGATCTAGAAGAGGCTGAGTTTGTGAATAACATGGCAACTTTTCATCTCTTTAGAGATGCGTGCTGACATTTAATTATGCCCTACACATTTATTTTAATCCCTTCAGTGTTGGTGTCCCCTTCTGTCAGTGGGATAACAGCAGTACCTGAGACAAACGGTTTCTGTGAGATTTAATAAAGACACGCCACTCAAACGCTGAGCACGGTCCTTGGCTCCTGATAGGCTCTCAGTAAGAATTACTATGTGATCATGAGGTCATGAATCTGGTTTTTAAAAAAAGACTGGACACTTGTCACATGGGTTTAATCCTCTGGCATATTCTAAGAACTTATTATCCATGACGACTAGTAAAACGACTCTCTTACACTTAGGATGAAAACACCCCGACATGGGCCTTTGGGTGCTCCCAATCGAGACGCTTCAAGTACAGAACACGGGGCTAATAATCACAATTCAAGCATTACGTAGTATTACATAAACTCACCTCAGGATGTGACCTGCATTTTTCTAAGGCTTTACCATATATCTTATTAGGACTGGATGAAGAAAAGAGTTCTTTGAAAATCACGTAAAACAAGCCACCTGAAAGTCACAGAAAAAGATCAAGCAAAGCACAAGCAAGACCAGGTATTCAGGGCGTCGTACTTGCTGTGTTTCTGACCTGTGATGCCGGTTCCAATAAGCACCACTACCAAGTAGGTAAAATCCCTTCCAGCTTCTTTCACTGCAAAGAGAAAACACCACCGAGTCACAGGAGTGCAGGGCACGAGCGAGAACCTTTGGTATTTCTAGTCGGTGGGGTGTGGACTCAGGTCCCAACGAGTGGGACTATGTGTGTTCTGGAGCAGCTGTCCTCCAATCTCCTGTGACTCAGAACCCAATCAAAACCGTGTCGCATCTAAGAGCGGATGGCAGAGCTAGCATGACTCTTAGGCCTAAAGATACGGGGTGGTGGCTCCCAGCACATTCTCATGTAACTCACCAGTCTTCTCTTAGAAAACCCTAGATACGCTCACCCTAGAGGATGACACCGGTGCACTGTTAGCTCAGTGAGCAGTAGCCCCGTACAGAGAGGGTAACTATGTGAGTTCATCAGCACAGCCTCATGGCATCGGCCGCTGACATGGACAGTGCGTGAATTTCTGCCTCTAATGACAAGAAGCAACAGTACTAGTTTGTAGTAACATGAAACATAATAAAAGTGTACATTTGTGGTTTTGCCCAGGATTCCTTAAGTCTCCTACCCTGTCAAACAGTTTTAAGTGACCTGGACGTTCTGGATCTGGGATGTCCAATACAGTGGCTATATGCCACACATGACTATTTAACTTTAAAATGAACCTAACTTTAACTTAAAATTAAGTAAAATTTGAGTTCCTCCACACAAGTGACATTGTAAGTACTCAACTGCCACAGGTGGCTCATGGTGACCATACTGGGGCAGCAGACGTACTGGTCACTTCCATCACTGCAGAGATTTGGACAACGCTGTTCTGTGAAACATCACATTTGCCCACTATGCCATCACGCTGGAGCTGACGGTAACAAATTTCAGTTCAAATGTACGAAAATTGTAGATCTATATTCTCAGATTCTAAGTCGTTTAGCAGTTCTACCTTTTAATTTGTGTGAACTGTCTTCTCATCTTAAGCACTGAGCTTCTATAAAAGGGCACTGGCAACTCTTGCCACGTTGGTTGAAAGAGTGACCATCCCTGGAGAATTCCCTTTTACCTTTCTGTGACATTGAGATGGCAGTTTCCCCTCTCTGACTGTGCACAGACACTTGTTTGCTGCTGTCCTCCTTCGCCGTCTGGGGGCTCTGTCCCTGCGTCCAGATGGTTTTCTGGGTGACTCCAAGGATACGCCTAGGTCGCACCGTTTTGCTCTGCTCGTGCAGCCCCCATCTCAAACTGGGCTCAGTCTTCAAGCAAGCTTTGTTAAGTAAAAAGGGTGGCAAAACCCACCGCTTCCCCGCGGATCTGTGCAGCTTCTCCGTATACTGTACAACTCGCAGAAAAGTATAAATCATGTTCACAGACAACCGCTCCGCTTAGGGAAGATGGCAACGACGGTTAGTAAAGCTTCGCCGCCCGCTACAAACCCGGCCGGACGTGTACTCGTGGGCAAATTCACGCCGGTAATTCAGCACGGCCAAAGTCACTGTGTACGTCCCCTCCTCTTTGGGCCTCTTTTCACTTCAATTAAGGTGCTTTGATTACCTTCTACGCTAACTTCCGCGCTCTGCCCGCCATGCCTTTGCAAAGCGAGCTGGGAAGCCCCGGGGGGCCAGGGAACAGTAGTTTGAGGATCTCACTTCTCACACATCTGCCGCAGCGAGGCGGGCATGAGGACTCCATCTCCCACAATGCAAAGCGGCCAGAGCACCGCCTCCCAGACGACCCTGCGCGGACCGCCTACGCACGCGCTGCACGTAGTCGGCGCACGGCAGGGAGGCGGGGCCGCCTGCGAGGGCGGGCGGAAAATAGTTCAAGAACTTGAAAAAGTCAAATCAGCAATCGCAAGCTGCATGTTTTCCCGGCCCGCTAGAGAGGACTGGGTAAACTGGGAACTCTCAGCTCTGACTGCGGCTCTGTCGTTCCTCACGGGCAAATGATGTAGCCTTTGCGTTTGTTTCCTCCCGAGGAAACGAGACGGAGTAGTGTGAACTACCGCAAAGCCAGCATGTGGCCACAGCGCCCCGGGGGCTCACTTGCTGCACCGCGTCCTCGACTCCTGTCGTGAGAAAAAGCCGGCCCTGCAGCCCCTAAAACCACTCCGGGAGCGCGTGGACAGGCCCTCGGTCCCGCCTCTGCGCACGCGCGTCCGGGAGCGCGCCGGCGTCAGGGGGCGTGGCCTGGTGAGGCGCGCTTTTCTCGCCCATCGTCCTGCCGCCTCTGCTTTCCGCGTCGGGTCTCCATGGCGACCGGACGCGGCCGGCTCCTGCGGCAGCTCTGCCT